ACAACACGTTCCCTTCCCCATTTTTTTCTGGGCTCAACTTTACTCCTTTACTCCTGACTCTTCTACCTCCTCCCAGCACCCCTTGGCTGACAGTCTCAGCTGTGCCCTGCGGTGGGTCTGCGGGAACCAGCCAGAACCACCCGTGTCCAGCCCCAGGGCAGCCCTCGGCCGCCTGTCGCAGGGGACCCCCTGCAGCCCCCAGCTCCCAGCACCTCACCGTCTGCACCAGGGGTAGCTGTGTCACTGCGTATGTGACACGTTCCCAAGAGCCCACGCTGCGCAGCGCAGACTTGCTGAGCCCCACTGTGCTGGAGCAGCTGGATGACGGTGGGGAAGAGGTTAGGCTCCCAGATGAAGGTAGGCACAAGGACAAAACACTCCCCAGTGCATAAGCTCACCCGCCACGAGCTCAGTGCAGCAAACAGCCCCTGGCGAGGAGTCCTGGTGCTAGAAATCACAGAAGAGGTGCTTTTCCAGCATGGACTGTTGACAGTGGCCTGACTGCTGTGCCATCCCTTTTTTCATGGCTGGGCCAGGGACACACAATCCTTACAGAGGGCATGGCAGGCTGTTCCTGAAAAAGAGAGGAGAGGATATCGAATCAACAGGTTTGGGTTGGAAGGGACCTTAAGGACAATCTGCAGGATGATCACAGACGAGGAAAACTTGACCTTACACTTCAGTGTCAGTGCAGCTTTCTTTGGTGAAAGCTTCCTGAGGCAGCCGTGTAATCAGTCCTGGAAAGCCACCGAGCAGCAGCGCTCAGGTTCTGCGTAACTCAGGGCTGGGCTTCCCCGGGAAACTGCCTGATCCAGACTCCCCTGACAGCTGTTCCTAGGCACTCCCTGCATGCCTGCTGATAGGGATGAGTGTGTTTTTCAGTTTTGCCTTGGTCAAAAATGGGCTGCTTTAGATTAATACAATCCACAAAGAGAATTTTTATGTAATACGTCTGACTTACCTACGCTACTAACCTTTCAGACAGACAGGCTTTTAGCGAGCTCAGGACTTTGGAAATTCTGGCCTTTATAGGCACTTGATGTTATTTTAGAATACAGAGGAAAAAGCTTACTATCTTGCCTCGCCTCCGTTTTCATGGCCATAATTATGAGGGTAGTCTGGTGACGTAAATTGTTTGGGAAATAAATGATAGCTTTCAACAGCGAGTGCTGTCAGACACTTCGCTCCTTGTAACTATTTTAGAAATCCAAATTAATTTTGCACTTCCACAGCACCAGATGCTGCTCTTATTTACGTTTGTGTAAATCCCATGCTACACCACTGCCTTCGTGAGACCTACTCTGTGTTTACACTGTGTCCCAGGCAGCAGAATTTGGCTCATGGTGGTAAGTCTACAACACGTTGTGCTGTGATGTGCTACTCCAGTAAATACAGTGGGAGAACTGTGCAGACATATTTAGTCTTAAGTCCCTCACTATCTGTCACTATTCGCTTTCGCAATACGGACCACAAACGCAAAGGCAGGATCAGACTTTGGGCGTTTTCACACAAAATGAGAGAAGAAAAGGGGAAGGCAAAGTACAGACAAAGGTATTTTTTGCAGAGCAAAACAATTTATCGTGACAGAGGTGTTACCCGTTACCGGCTGACACCTACCAGAACTGCGGCGCTGGTACTCCAGTTGCTGAGATGTTGCCCCCCCGTCGTCATGCCTTCACCCTGCACATCCCTGTGCATTGTGCTCCAGCCCGAGCTGCCGGCTAACCGGCGGGAGCAGCAACGGCCCAACTCTCAGGCTGCAACCCAAGCAGAGCACTGGCCATCGCGGTTACGTGCCACCCCCCAAAAGACAACTTTATGAATCAGCCCTTACAAGTGCAACCAGAGGCATCAAGGCAGTAATAACAACACTTAGTCCTGTTCTTCTCCCAAGCTTAGTAGAGTCCTGACCTCACAGCACCTCTGTGGCAAGGGTGGATCATCATTCCCTCTTGGGACATGAGGAACTGGGATACATATGGAGGGCTGAAAAGCTGTACCAGCTCAAAAGCTCAACAAAAAACCAGGGTGAAAACAAGTGGGTACACAACACAGGTAGAATCACAGAACGGTTTGGGTTGGAAAGGACCTTAAAAGCCCATCCAGTCCCACTCCCTGCCATGGGCAGGGACACCCTCCACCAGACCAGGTTGCTCCAAGCCTCATCCAGCCTGGCCTTGGACACTTCCAGGGATGGGGCATCCACAGCTTCTCTGGGCAACCTGTCCCAGTGCCTCCCCGCCCTCTCCAGGAAGAATTTCTTCCTGATGTCTAATCTAAAGATTGGTACAAGATAAACGGCATTCCATGAATTCTATGGGGAACAGTTGGCTTTTGAAGACATCCCCACGTAGCATTTGTAACCCAAATCCTGCAGAACTGAAAAGCTGAAAGGTGCATTGACAACATTAAGACTAAAAAGGGGACATTTGTGTTATTAATATCCTAAAGAAGAGTGTGTGGGCAGTAGCCTTCTCTGCCACCCGTGGCTGCCGTGCTGCTGACCCGGAGGGAGGGTCAGGTGCTGCTGGCTCCCAGACCTGTGGTCAGCCCCACAGCTCCGTAGAGCAGCCAGTGCTGCTCCCCAGCAGGACACTCACGATTTTTTTGAACCGGGGCCAGCGTTCACACCCAAACAAACTCACCTTTGTCCTGGCCACAGACGTCCTTGCAGGCGTTTCCCCACCCCTCTGCTGTCTGGAGGCGAGTCGGCATTTCTGTCTCACTCAGGCGCTTGCCGCGTCTTACAGCCTGTTTTGGGCGGTTGGTGGGGCTGATTTCCTTTGCTGGAAAAACGAGCTGCTTTCCTCCTCGCCCTGGTTTCACACAAGTATGTGCCATGCTCGAGATGAAGCCGGTTAGTGGTCATTCCCCCAGAGCCTCCCGCGCTGCGCAGAGCTGCCTGTGCCGTCAGGAAGCCACGCACAGCTCTGGCCTGGGGTGGTTGTGCTTGGGAGAGCTCTTCTGCCTTCTGCGCAGAGCTTGGCACCACTGCTTTAAACCCCTGCTCTCCCCTCTCAGTTTTGACTTCGGGAGCTGTATTCTACCATCCAGCTCTGCAGAACAGGCTTCTAGAAGGACCCACTCCGGGGTGGGGACAACCTTGCCAAACCCCTTCCTCCCGCATGGACCAATTTGAGGGAGATCCCCACCCCCCCAGGTGATGTCCTCAGGCTTGCTGTGCCCACAGTGTGCCCAGGACAAAGGGCAGCACCGACGCGCCTTCTCCACCAGCCCTAGGAAGCTGGGGTGGCATCTGGCTCTGTTGAAACAAGGCAATTTTAGCTACAGAGTCTAATTGTGCAGTTATTTAAGAGAGCTAACATTTTCCTGTTCCTTCCTACTCCTCCTCCAGGGCAAGCACCAGCTCTCCCACCAGATGACTGCTGTCCAAGGGGCGACGTGCCGCAGCCACCACCACCCTCGCAGGCGTCGCTGAATGCCACAGCCCCCAGCCCTCCTCACAGCCCCACGCCGGGCACCGCTTCATCTTCTGACGGGCCAGCTGATACCGGCATTTAGAAACAAGAACTGACGCTTAAATAAACATGGTGCTACGTCGAAAAAAATTCCACAGAGATTAATTTCCTGTTCACCTATAAATACACAGGAAAAGGAGATCAGGCCCAAGAAATCCCATCTTAAAAGAAAATTAAAGCCTGCTGCAATCCTTCATCTAGCCCATTTCTTCTACTAACAGCACATTTGTACATGTTATTAGATTGCCATTGTAGCATCCCGGACAAATCAAATTAATTCAAATATCTGCAGGTACGAAACGCTGTAGCTAAGAAATGAGCACATAAAGTATATGCAATTTTCCCCTGGCAGTTTATTATGGTATGAAGAAAAAAACATTCTGTGCTTGAAGCTGATGTTATATTACAAATGTCTTGTGAAGTATGACGTGACTATTAAAATATGATTACACAAAGTATGGACATTTTAAGAAGTTTACAGTACAGTGAATCTTTTATAAACAGACTCTTAAATATACATAGGACAATAATAGCTGACAGAAAAACATCAAAAATTAACTATTAATGTTTATAGACTTTTCCCCTGAAAAAAAGTCTCACATTAGAACAGAAATTATGAAAAGCCTTAAACCCAGGAACAAAACACCTGTACACTACAAATATACATGGCAGAGGTGCACAAACCAGAGCTACCTTTTTGCTGAGGGCTACGGTCAGCAGAGGGGCCCGGCAGAGCCTGCCCAGCGTAACCCACCTCGGGCAGCGCAGCCTTGCCTGCCTGCAGTGCCGGGGCACACGTGCACCAGTCAGCAGCTGCACCCTCCCAAGCACACGCTCCTCGCGGGACAGCGCACGGTGCGCTGTCGGTGTCGAACGCAGCACATCAAGCTGAGAACGCACGTGGGATCTTGCTCCTGGGTCTCTGCAGGCAGATCCCTGGATACACTGGGAGCCCGTCTGGGACCTACCTACCAGAATCAGGCTGCAAGACTGGGCTACGAGGGAATCAGCAGCTCCTTTTCTGGGTTTTATTTGGGTTTTTTTAATGCAACTTTTCAGTATCTTACCTACTGGTATGGGAGAACTGATGCCACATTTCACTTCTGCTTAGTCTGGTTGCAGTGACACCCCTAGTTCATGTGTTAAGTTATGTCAAAAACATAAGTATTTTATGCTGTAATACACAGTATTACTGAAACTAACAATATTATTTGCATATTTATAACAAGGTATAATGAAATCCCTATAATAAACCCAGAAGTTATGCTATAGATTTATGTACAAACAGTCCAGCAAAGAAGTATAAATACTTCTACATTTAAGGTTTAAGAGAACATAATTTACAAAATATTCAAATATATACAGTCATCTGAAAAACTGCCAATATTAAACTTCGATGCAGGCAAAGAATTGGCGGAGTCCATTCGTTCTGGATTGAAAGAGGCGGTGGCTTTCGCGGGCTGTCTGTTCTGGTCAAGCGCCACACGTCTGTTATTTACAACCAGACTGCTCCTCTCCAAGCTAAACGTGTCCGGAGCTTTGAGCATGCTGTCCCAAAATGTCATCTATCATTGTCAGATTGTTCAACCACTCTTCGTCGTTGCTGCCGCTGTTCTTCATGAGGGAGTCGAGGAAGTCGGTGTCGCTGCAGTTCGCGGGCACGACGGGGTTGCTGTGCTGGGACGCAAAGTCATACTGCGGCAGCTCGGCAGCAGCGCTCATCCTGCCGAAGGCGTCGGGTGGCTGGCCCGTGGAAGCGTAGCTTGGTGGGCCGAGGCTCGAGGCAGGATTGAGCTGGTTAAAACTGGACACTCCTTGTGGCATTGATTTCATAACATTCATAGCTGGCAATGGTCCTCTGGTTAAACTGTGTCGAGAGTTCTGATTACTCACTGAGCTCAAGCCCTGGCCAGACTGCCCCATGCTCAGTTTTTGCATGTGTCTGACTTGGACACCGGGAGCGATCTGATTAGGTGGCACTACGGCCTGCTGGGAGAACTGCTGACCTGGCACGCTTGGTCTCGCGTTCTGTTTGGAGAAGAGAGCGTTACCAGAGAACTGCTGCATGCTGGCATCCATTTGGTTTTGATTTGGCATTCTTGGCACAGCAGTTGGCGTCCACATCTGGGCAGATGAGCTGGGGTAGACGTTAGGGATTCTTGGCATACTCGGCTGCCTCAAGTGTTGCTGAGTTGCAGAGTGATTTGCTAGGGAACTAGAACTGAAGCTTGGCCGCACGGCAGAGTGGTTATGGACTGTTTGGCACCCCGAGTTCATGCCCAGCGAGTTCTGGCTTGGCCGCAGCGGGATGTTAAAGTCAGAATTAGGCGGAAAAATCCCCTGCTGCTTGCCAGAGTTGTGTGGAATCATCACCATTGTCCCGCTGCTCTGGCTGGCGGTGGCTGGGGCCATGCCAGAGCCCAAGGTGCTCTGGAGCACGGCTGGGTTAGACGGCAGCATGCGGTGGTTGGGCGGAGGAGCTGGCATCACCTGGCTGCAGTCGGTGGGAATGGGCTGCTGCACAGCTGCACACAAAGAGACATGTTAGCTGGTGAGCGCGTGTCCACCCCGGAAACACGGCAGAGCCTTAGAAGGCTGCTGCTCCATCTTTCTCTTTCACTACATGGGCCTCTCCTCTGTGTTCTTTGTAACAGCATTACTACTGGAGCAATAAGGGAATGGGTGAATCTCATGATATGTCATAAAATGGGAAATGCTTTTATTCCAGGGCAGAAGATTATCAAGCACCCTGGCTCTGACTCCTCGAGGCTTTTCATAGCATGCCGTTTCCCTCCTTACCTTGAAACTGATTTATCTGCTGGGCTGCAAACAAACTCCTCTGCTCAGATGTTACTCCCAGCATGTTTTGTCGCTGCTTTTCCTGGAAAACACGGGGCATAATAGTCAAGTTTCAGTGTCTGGACAAGCAGGAATAACAGCAGACACGTGAAGTGTAGCCACTGTCAACATTAACAACCACTCCCGGACAGCTCCCTCCCCCTCCGCTGAGGCTCAGCCCAGACCGGTCATTTCAGACTGGGTCTCAGCTGCTCGCGTGCCCCTTCTTGTGCAGGTGTCCCGCCAACAGCCCCGCGATAGGAAGGGCAGCCGTCGGCAGACGCTGTGCAGGCAGCCCAAGGGGAGCGGGATGAACATGGAGACCCTCGTGCGCAGCACAGCCAGAGGCTGCAGGGATGCTGGCGTCTCCCCGCACCTCTCGTGCTGACTAGTTGGACGTGTCCTCTGAAGTACCAGATCCATGGACAAAAGGTGCCCAGAAGTCTACTAGTGAACAGAATCGGTGCAGCCCTGCAGGGACGCACTGACAAACAGGAGGGTGCTGGGGGCCATGACCCTCTCGGAAGGATGGCTCTGCCCGTGTGTACCATCGCCTTCTGTGCTGGTTGCCACTTCTAACCAGAACACCACAGCGAGCCACAGGAAGCCCAGGATCCTTAGCAGGTGCTCCCTGAGCAAGACACTGCTGACTTTCTCCAAGTGATCTGATTGGCGTCTCCCACTCTTTAACCCCAGAACCCGCCACCACGCTGACACCCCTGCTGAGGACAGCAGCCGTGACCCAGGGAGCTCTCCCTGGACAGCAGGAGCTGAGGCCTGGCTGAACGCCCGCTGCACTAGAGCTGCGCAGACAAGCTTGAAGCCCACTGACGACAAAGAGGCAGAGCTGATTCTGAAAGGGAGTTTGACCAACGAGCAGGACAGCAATCGGCTGGGGGTTTTACTGAGCTACTTCTCATTTCCTGTCCAAAGAAATGAGACTCCTTGACCCAAATCCAGCAGCACAATTAGAAAGTCAGAGGCAGATGTTCAGTGCTGCCTCACCCAATGCGTCTGTGGGATTCCCCCATCCCTGCCCCTTCACACAGCATATAACAACCTTGTACAGGGACTTCTGTTGCTAGAGACACCGGCAAAGACCAGGACAAACTGGAGTCTAGCATCTGCTCTGGTAAACCCCCAGGAACCAGAGAGAAAGGCAAGCATGGAGAACATCTCTTCTGTGGCTGACTCAGTCTCCAAGCCTGCCATCTCTGCATCTTCCCTCCCAGCTCTGTGGCTGACCAAGGATGACGGCAATGATACGGATGTGACTGAAACCTTCCCTCGCATATGAGTGGGCAGATCTGCACTCGGACTTGCTGAGCAGCACTTGGCCCTGGCCTCTCTTGGGCACGACATCCTGGACTCACCACAGCCCCAGTCTGACTCAACCCAGCAATTCCAGGGTCACTCCCTAGTGCGTGCTGACTGGTGATTTCCCCATTCCAGTCAGTCCTGTCTTTCCCAGTGAGATGGACCGCACAGTAACCTACAGAGGCACTCGGCATTGTACCTGCATCAGCTGTCGTTTCATTATTTGCTGCTTCAGTAAATGGTTCCTCATCGTGTACCCATTCACCGTGGCTGGTGCCGGCACAGAGCCTCCGCTTGGGATGGAGCCTGGCTCCTGAAGTCTGGCGACAATTCCAGCATTTTGATCCTGCCAAGAAAAATGAAAAAAGAAAATTAGTCTCATCAGGGAGATAACAACAGAAGCCCTTATCCTCTCTGCTGATGCTCTCTCTGTGGTCTTTGGCTGTCCCAAGGTCAAAACACCTTGTGGTTTCACATGGACCCACATGTCACAGCGAGGACAGTGTGGGGTGGGGGGCTGTTCTCATTTCTGAGGGTCAGCACAAGAAGAAGTGAGAGAAACAAAAGGTTAATGCTAAATTCTTTGTGACTAGCCCAAGGCTACAGGACTGATTCACTACCATTATTGGAGTCACATGGCTGCCTGGCTGGCAGAAGGGATGTGAGTTCAGAGTCACATTTCCCACCAGTTCCCCAACTGTTACACTGAAAGACATAAGGAAAGAAAAGTTGCATCAGGGTAGGATTTGGCAATTGGATATAGAGGAGAAGCCTACAGTAAAAGAAAATAGCAAACTAAAGGCAGAAGAGGAGAAATGGTGCCATCAGACCAGAGATCTGGAAAGATGAGGAAGACATCCGGAAGTCTAAACATCTTAGGAGCTGGCAGGTAGTCAGGGAAATACAAGAGAAAAAACAAGGGAGGAAGTCAAGGCCTCACTGAGGACAAGATTCTGTAAGTGCTGTACCCAGGAGCAGCAGTACCAGTGTATTGCCCTTTCTCCATTTTCACATCCAGCTTCTACATTATTTATGATGTTTTGTTATTATTGGCAGGGAGAAGTATGTATATTATATCCAGCATCCTTAACTGGGCCATGCTTCCTTTGTTTTGAGAATGGAAGCCCACAGTCTTTGTTTGAGAATCAATGTTATCAGGAGATAAGCGAGAAGAAAATGGTTGTTCCTTCTGACATCTGACAATTAGAAGCATGCTCAGACGGAGAAAACAGGATACGAGCCATGTTTCAGAGTGGTCAGAAGAACGCCTTGGAAGGCATTTGTCACCAGGCAAGCTTCTCAGGCCTGGGGCGCCTTTCCACGGCAGCTTCACCGTGAGGGATCACCCAACTCCTTCCAAGATATTCTGTGTAAGATTATCAAGAAGGTCACTGAAATGACTCATTTTTATGGTGCTGCCTTTTGTTGTAGCACTTTGTTCTATTATGCAAAAGCACAATTGATGAAATGTAACTGCCTGATAGATAATTTACTAAAAGACACAAACCTGAAGCTCATCATTCCTATTCATGGGCAGTCTCATAAGACTAGGCTTTATTACTGGTGTTTTGCTTACAATTCCGCTGGACACTTCTCCTCCTCCCCCTTCCCTCCTACCCATTTTACTCCCTTCTCCCACAGACAAACAGGGAGGGGAGGAAAAAAGTAAATGATTTACTACAGATGTAAATATGAAAGCTCATGTAAGCTAGCACTCTGCTTTCATGTCAGACAGGATTCTGCAGCCATAGTTAAGCTTTGAATAATGCAGATTGCCTCTAGGGGAATATCTGAAAGTGCAGGGATTCTGTTTGTGTACTCTGCACATGAAAGACACTGAAATGTTCATACCTCGGAATCCCTGCTATCTATCCAATTTCCTCCAAACTTGCCTTGTTGCGTGCAGAGGGTCTGTGCTTACTGAAGCAAATGAGTTTAGTGCAAGGACAATCATTCTGATGTCTCGCTCAGGGCTATCACATTAACAAGTGATAACATTAAAGTCTCTTTTCCTCATCATGTCCACCTCGTTCTAATTTCTCCTAAGTATCATCAAGAAAATAATGTTGATTTTTACATATTATTAATGGTAAAGAAGTGTAAATCACATTACTAATTGCGGCTCTTGTGCTGTGGCAGTACAACAGCTTAATTACACGGGACTTTCTGCAGGCACCCTATAGCAATAACGACAACCCGTGAAGTTCATTTGCAAATCCACAGAATGGGTTGCGGAGTTTCTCAGAGACAAGTTGTGTAACACTTAATTAGCCAGTAAAGAAACAATATATAGATATAAATTTTACTTTGGGGAAATTAGAACAAAATAGCATAGATGGGAAGACAAGGAATTCAAAACCTTGTGTTCTACAGTTCACATTAAGGTTAAGCCAAAAAAAACCCAAAAAGACAAGAAAAAGTTCCGTCTTTTCACCACTAGTGGGAACTACTGAATTGCCTTACAAGAAAAAATAACCACTTAAACGTCACGGCTAAGAATAGCTCTGGTTCAGTCTAAAGGACACTGCTATCTGTACCAAAGGTTAATGAACTTCAAACATTTTTCCTTTTCATCACTCCCCAAGAAAAAATCACTTTCCTTCCCACAGTAAGGCCGAGCCAATCAAGCCATAATCTTAACTTGCCTACAGTTTGGACTATCCGAGTTTAAAATCCAGGAAGACAGCAAAGAGAGGAGAATTCAAAGTCAGGGACGATGCAAGAGGGTGTTCCCATCCAAAGGGTGTGTGGCTGAACCTGCTGTAAGCCACGCAGGAGGATACGGGGGATTCTTATTCTTCGACTTTTAAAACAATGTTTGTGTGTAGGTATCAGGGTTTTTGCCCTTTTTGCCATCACAAAACTCGTATTAAAACATGAGGTGGGCAGAATCCCTAAGGAAATGGCATGCCAGGCAGACCTGGAATTGGTGAGCACGTGTTTGAAGGCATGTGTTTGTTGCTAGGCAAACTGAGCAGCAGGTCCAGAGCTCCTTGCAGCACTCTGCCCTTCCCAGTGCGGAGGGTTCTGTTCAAGACGGGGCTCGCGTCATGGTTTTGGCTTAGTACCTCATGCACTAGTTCTGAGAGCCAGGAGGAAAGAATCAGGTTCCAGGTTTGCAGGAAGCCGTCCTGTTCGTGTCCATATTCAGCCACTGGCTGTAGTTGTAGGAGCTGCCACGCAGCCCAGTGACACCAGTCCCCCCCCCAGCTGGTGCACAGTGTCAGGCTGCTCCGGCTGGGCAAACGCGTCTGTGGATTACCACGTCCAGCTGTACTGAGCGTGGGTCTGCTCCAACCAAACGTTCAGACACACGCTTCATGCAAACCGTGCGAACAGTCCCACGGAGACTTACCACCTGTATTTATGAATCTACACCCTTCTGAAAATCCACGGATGGGCTCGACCTGCCCAACCCCATCATCGGGTGACATACGAGATGCACAGCCGCAGTGAACAAGCGTGGAGATGAATTGTTCTGTGTGAATGCGGCTGATGAACTCCAGTCCTCAGCACTTAGTTATACATCCAGTAATCACTTTGTGGCTTCACTTAAGCGAGAATGAAGAAATTTATGGTCCCTAATTCCTCTGAATCCTCATTAACAAACAGTCCAAAAAGAATTTAAAAGCAAGACTTTCTGAGGATCTGAGCTAGAGCTTTAATCGCTCTTTGGCACATATGTAAAATCCCTCTAATCTTTAATAAAGAGCATTCATTGTTTTTTAGGACTATGTGAAAACACTAAACTCGTTTATCATTATTAAACTTTCCCATCTGCTCTTACGGCGTAACTCTAAAGAATGTAACAAAGAAATGTCCATGTTACACGGTACTGGCTTAATCCCAGAGTTATTGGAGATGTACAATTTATTTCAGTAAGGGCATGAAGGGGACTGCAGGCTGCTAGACAGAGTCATTTGTCCAGTGCTGAAAAGACAGTTATCTGCACCGAAATGGCTCTTGGAAAGGCACATTTGCTGTGTAAGAAATAAGCTGCCAGGTGAGACCATTCAGCATTATGCTACAGACCCAGACAATAAAACTAAGCCATGAATTTCAATAGTTAACAGATGGACTAATTAGAGACTGAATTCTTTGTGGCTCTAACCAGGTCACAGCAAGGTTACTGAGACAGAGACAGGCAGCTTTGCAAATTTCAGTGGATTTGCACTTCCTCACCAAAAGCATTAGCAGTGGGAGAACAGAAACGTGTCTCATGGAAAATACAGATAGTACCTGCATTTTAAAAGTTTCTTCCGTTTTGAGAGACACTGCTGATTTGAGAAATAGTCCCTCCACTTTCAACGGGGCATCCAGCCGAATCCAGTAATTACAGAGCTTAAAACAGAAGGGTTGTTGAGCTGAGCCACAGCACCCCAGCGTGAAAGGGAAAGACCAAAGGGAATGGGTCGCTCAGGGCAGATGTTTGCTGTAAACACGAGAAAGGGACAAACCGCTTTTTCCACCAGTTGTTTTTTTTTGCAACCAAACATAACTGAGCTTGTGATGTCACACAGTAAAAAACTACACAAAACAAAACAAACCCCAACCAATGAAGAAAACAGAGAGGAAAAACATGGCTAGAGGAGCTGAGCCGGTGCTACTGCTGCTCGCCAGGCCCTGGCTGCTCGGCCCGGGACTCTGGGTGAACCCATATTTGTGGCAGGGACAGCTATTCTCTCAGGGTAAGGTAAAGTTTCAGTACCTGAACTTTTTCTGTATTTTAAGAGCATCTGTTACGTATGGGGAGTGCTGCATGCTGCTGAGGAAATGCAAATACTGGTTTCAAACTACTGCCTCTGCGTGTCCCTCTGCTCCCGCCTGCCTGCCCGGGCACAGACCTCTGCGGGGGGCCTTTCATCCCGCGCCACGCTTCACTCTGCAGTCCAGGACTCGGGCTACTGCACACAACAACTATTAAATTAAATTACAATTAAAACACTATTACAGTTGCCTCACCCACAGAATGCCATGTGTTGAAGTTTCATGTTTAGACCTAAAGAGAGGCCACATATAGGCTCCCTGTGCCTTGTGTGGCCCCACAGAAAACCTCGATGCCGCCTTTACAAAGGAGGATCATTGTCTCCACAGCTGTTAATCCAAGTAGATACTAAGATGGTGAATCTGTTTGGCTAGTGCATGCAAACAAAGCAAACACAACCCAGGGTCATGGTTTGGCAGAACGGTCGTGTCAGCTTCCTCAGGAGTGTGCTGTCTGGGAGGTGCGACGGTCACTTGCTGCACACACAAGTCAGGGGTTACCTACGTCTTGCCTCTGCTTCTTGCTTTAATGACTCTCCAGGTGCTCTTTGGAAGTTTTCTCTCTTTTCTCCCCTCCATTCT